GTTTTAATTTGCATCTCCTTGATGATTAGTGAGGTTGAATATTTCTTCATGTGTCTGTTGGTCACTCGAATGTCTTCATTTGAGAAGTGTCTGTTCATATCTTTTGCCCACTTAATAATGGGGTTGTTTGTTTTTTTTCTTTTCAGTACGTTTGAGTTCCTTGTAGATCCAAGATGTTAGGCCTTTGTCAGACCTGGAGTTGGCAAATACTTTTTCCCAGTCTGTGGGCTGTCTCGCTGCTCTCTTGATGGTTTCTTTGGCTTTGCAGAAGCTAGTTAGTTTAATGAGGTCCCACTTGTCTATCTTATCTCTTATGGCCCGGGTTTTGTTCAGGAACTGGATGCCAGTTCTAATTTCCATGAGGGTGTGTCCTGCATTTTCTAAGGTTCTTATGGTTTAAGGTTTTACATTTAGGTCTCTGACCCATTTAGAGTTAATTTTTGTGTATGGGGATAGATAGGAATCTTGTTTGAATCTTCTGCATGTAGTCAGTCAGTTTTACCAGCACCATTTACTGAATAGGTTCTCCTCTCCTCAGGGGTGGGTGGTGGAGGCTTTGTCGAAGATGAGTTGGTTGGGAAATTGAGGTTTTGCTTCTGGAATCTCAATTCTATTCCATTGGTCTATATACCCGTTCCTGTACCAATACCAAGCTGTTTTGATTATTTCAGCTTTATAGTAAAGTTTGAAGTCTGGTAGTATGATACCTCCTGCTTTGTTTTTTTTGCTGAGGATTGTTCTGGCTATTCTTGGTCGTTTGTGTTTCCATATGAATTCCTGTATTGTTTTTTCTGGCTCTGAGAAGAATATTGCTGGTAATTTGATGGATATTGCATTAAATCTGTAGATTGCCTTAGGTAAGATGGACATCTTCATAATGTTGATTCTTCCAATCCATGAGCATGGGATATTTTTCCACTTGTTTGTGTCATCTTTGATTTCTCTGAGCAGTGTTTAGAGTTTTCATTGTAAAGGTCTTTCACGGCTCTGGTTAGGAAGATGCCAAGGTATTTCATTTTTTTTTGTGGCTATTGTGAATGGGACTGTGCTTTTTATTTGGGTTTCTATTTGTTTATTATGGGTATAAAGAAATGCGATTGTCTTTTGCACATTTATTTTATACCCTGAGACTTTGCCAAAGTCCTTTATCAGTGCAAGGAGACTTTTGACGATTCTCTTGGGTTTTCAAGGTAACAATCATGTTGTCTGCAAAGAGAGATAACTTGACTTCCTCTTTTCCTATTTGGATACCCCTGATCGCCTTCTCTTTTCTGATTGCTCTAGCCAGGACTTCCAATACTATATTGAACAGGAGGGGAGAGAGTGGGCATCCTTGGCTTGTTCCAGTTTTCAGGGGAAATGGTTCCAATTTTTGTCTGTTTAGGAGTATGCTAGCTGTGGGTTTCTCGTAGATGGCTTTTACTATTTTGAGTATGCTCCATGTATGCCTAGATGTTCGAGGGTTTTTATCAAGAAGGGGTGCTGGATTTTATCAAAAGCCTTTTCTGCATCTAATGATATAATCACGTGGTTTTTGTTTTGACGTCTGTTGATGTATTTATTTACATTTATTGTCTTGCGAATGTTGAACCAGCCTTGCGTCCCAGGGATGAAGCCTGCTTGGCCATGATGGATGATTTTTGATTTGTGTTGTTGGATCTGGTTTGCTAGGATCTTGTTGAGAATTTTGGCATCTATGTTCATCAAAGATATTGGCTTGTAGTTCTCTTTCTTTGTTGGATCTTTACCTGGCTTGGATATCAAAGTGATGTTAGCTGCATAAAATGATTTGGGGAGGGTTCCATCTTTCTCCACCGCCTGGAATACTTTCAGTAGGATTAGTATCAGCTCCTCCTTAAATGTCTTATAGAATTCTGCTGGAAAGCCATCAGGTCCAGGGCTTTTTTTTGTAGGGAGTTTTATTATTACATGGTCAATTTCCTTGATTGTTATTAGTCTATTTAGGGTCTTGATTTCTTCTTGTTTCAACCTAGGCAGGTTGTGTGATATTAGAAAGTCTTCCATTCCCTTGAGGTTTTCAAGTTTGTTTCCATACAAGTGTATATAGTAGTCTCGAATGATCTTTTGTATTTCTTCGGGGTCAGATGTGACTTCATCTTTTGTGTTTCTGATTGTATTTATTTGGGCTTTTTCTCTTTTTTTCTTGGTCAGTCTAGCTAGGGGACCATTGATCTTGTTTATCCTTTCAAAGAAGCAGCTTTTTGTTTCATTGATTTTTTTGTATTATCTTTTTGTCATCTATGTCCCAGATTTGCGTTTTTATTTTGGTGATCTGGATTCTTCTGCTGAAGTTAGGGTTTTGGTGGTCTTACATTTCCAGCTTCCTAAGGTAACTTGTTAGGCTGTTAATTTGTGATCCTTCCATTTTTTTCATGTGTGTTTGTATAGATATGAATTCCCCTCTTACTACAGCTTTCATGGCATCCCAGAGATTTTGGTAAGATGTCTCTTCATTTTCATTTGTTTCCAGGTATCTTTTAATCTCTGTTTTGATTTCATTGTTAACCCAGGAGTTGTTTAGCATCCTGCTATTTAGTGTCCATGTCTTTGTGGGTTTGGGGGGAACCTTGTTGGTGTTGATGCTTATTTTTATTCCACTGTGGTCTGAGAAGGTGCATGACAAAATTTTGATCTTTTGAAATTTGTTTATGCTTGATTTATGGCCAAGTATGCGGTCGATCTTAGAGTACATTCCATGCAGTGATGACTAGAATGTATATTCTGTGGTCATTGGGTAGAGTGTTCTGTAGGTATCAATTAAGTCCATTTGTTCAAGAGTCACACCGAGGTTCCAGATCTCGCTGCTGATTTTTTGTCCTGATAATCTGTCTAGGGTTGTGAGTTGGGTATTAAAGTCCCCAGCTATGATCATGTGAGAGTCAATATCTCTCTTGAGTTTTCCTAGAAGCTGCTTTATGAAAGTTGGCACTTCTATATTGGGTGCATATATGTTTAGGATAGATATTTCTTGTTGATGGAGTGAAGCTTTTATCATTATGCAGTGGCCTGTATCTTTTTAAATTTTTGATAGCTTAAATGGTATTTTGTCTGAAATTAGGATCACGACTCCTCCTTTCTTTTGTGTTCCGTTTGCCTAAAAACTTGTTTCCCATTCTCTTACTTTGAGTCTGTGCGTGTCCTTTCTAGTGAGATGGGTCTCTTGAAGGCAGTATATTGTTGCCTGGTGATATTTTATCCATTTTGTCATTCTATGTCTTTTCAGTGGTGCGTTTAGTCCATTCACATTCAGGCTAATTATTGAAATGTGAGAGTTGGTCCCTTATAGAGTTGTTGTTGTTGTTCCTCTTTGTTTGTTGTCTTTCTTTTGGTTTTGGGGTTGGTTCGTGAGTGTTTAACTCTTTTTCCTGTACTCTTGTGAAGAACGTTGTTGTTCTTTTTTCCTTTTCTTCTGTATTTAGTACTTTCTTAAGTGTTTCTTGTAGAGGTGGTCTGGTGGCAGCATAAGTTCTTAGGGATTGGATATCTGGGAAAGATTTTAATTCTCCCTCACTGATGAAGCTTAGCTTGGCTGGGTAGGTTATTCTTGGTTGAAATTGTTTATCTTTTAGAACTTTGAAGACAGGGCTCCAAGCTCTCCTAGCCTGAAGGGTTTCTGTAGATAAATCTGCTGCTCTTCTAATTGGTCTTTCATGGTAGGTGATCTGGCCTTTTTCTCTTGCTGCCTTTAGGATTTTTTTTTTTTGTACCTACTTTGTTTAGGCGAATTATTATGTGTCTGGGAGTTGGTCTTCTCATTTGTTGTCTTGCAGGGGTCTCTGAATCTCTTGTGTTTGAATTTTCACGTCACTGATGAGGTGAGGGAAGTTTTCTTCAATAATCTCATGGAATGTTTGTTCCAAGGTGGCCTGTTTCTCTTTCTGTTTCAGGAAGGCCGATTACTCTTAGGTTCTTTCTCTTGAAGTAATCGCTCATCTCTAGAAGGTTTTGTTCTCTTTTTAAGCTTCTTTTCTATGTTTTTGACAGTTTGGGTTAGTTCTATATTTTGGTCCTCAAGCTCTGAGAGTCTTTCTTCGGCTTGGCTAATTCTGCTTTCTATGCTTATCAGTTTGTTATTTATTTCATTCACAGTATTCTTTATTACTGTTATCTCAGTTATCAACTCCTTCCTAGTTTCTTCTTGTCGCTCCTCAATTCTTTTTAATCTCTCCATTAATGCCTTGATATCTAGGTTTGTAGTTTGAGACCAGTCATTCTGGGGGTTCTTCGTTTTTGCATTCTGAAGTCAGTTTTCTCAGTGTCTTCCCTTCTCAGGGGTCTGGGAGAGACCCATATTCTTCTTTTGGTTTTTCTTCATTTGTGTAGATTTTTTTCTCTCTCCCCCTTTCCCTCCCCTTCTTTAATTCTGTTTTTCAGGGAAGGTGGGGTTGCTTTTACTTCTTTTGTTCAATCTCCTGTTCTTCCTTATGAGGGTCCTCTGGCTTTGTTCACTTTTGAGGCTGGAGTGTGGACTGGGGGCTGTACTTTTTGCAGTTTTGAGGTTTGACTGAGGGGGAAGCTGTGATTCAGAATCTATCTGCTGATCCCAGTATCCACCAACAGGTGTATGGGCACACTGGAATCTATTTCCCACTGCCTTACAATCTGTCCGTGTAGCAGGGTGTAGGTTTGGTCCCAGGGCAAGGACAGCCCATCCCAGGTCCCCGCCGCCCCGTCACCGGCAGTCCCTCCGTGCTCCTGTGGCCCCGGCTCGCTTGCGGGTACCTCCCCAGACAGGGCCCGTTGCCTGCCTGGAGGTCCGGTGCTGCCTCCACCCACCCACCGCCTGCGACAGCTATGGCTCTTGGGGCTCTGGTGCCCAACCCGGAGCGGCTGGAACCAATAATACCTTTCTTAACTGCCTCACTAATACCATATATGATTTAAATTGCTGGAGCCCTGGGTAGAGTAACAGAAATATGAACATGATATATGCCAGGAGAAACATGAATCAATACGATCTAGTTGATGCTTTGTCCTACCTTAGTGGGTTATCTGAATGAGTCTCCATGTGGGTCTCCAGTCCATACTTGCAAACGAACTCCTTGAAACATACTGGGCAATGGAAGACCTCATCAGCCTTCTTCTCCAAGTCACCTGACTGCCCATCCTCTACCATCTTAGGAAAAAAGAAAAACAAAGACATCATGAAGGAAGTCTTCCACATGGGTGGGCCTCTAAAGAGAAGCCAACACCAAATGCAGAGATTTCTAATAATAGGAAAGGGATGTGTTCCTCACCGAGTACTAAGGATTTGACAGATCATTCATTTGTTCACACAACAAATACTCACTGGACACTACCATCCATCCATCCATCCATTCATCCACTCAGTAAGTCCTCATGGGGCACCTAGTACCTGACAGACACTACAAGTAAAAGAGTGAAGACAGACAAGTCTCAAACACTTAGGAAGCTTCCATTTTAGGTAGAAAAACAATTTTTAAAGTGTGGAAACAGTTCTAAAAGTGCTTCGTTCCATCTCTGGGCTCAGCAGGGGGGCTCCAAAGAGGAAGTGCACACAGGTATTATTTTCTTAGACACTTTACAAAAACAGAATGGAAAAATACAGGTTAAAAGCTTAGGATGAATGTCTGCCAAGTTCCTACACTGTGAAAATAAAGATTAGAGGTACTTCTGACTAAAGTTCTGTGAGGAGGCACACATGTGCTGGGAGCCAAAAGGACCTTTTTAGCTGGTGTTGGGTCTTCTCTCTCTGACTCGGCATCGAGACTCAGTTTTCTTTTGGAGGACAGCCGTCTGCGCTTTAGAGGAGATGGAGGAGCTGCGGCCGTGGCACTGTTAGGGTCCTTCTCATGGATCTTCATATGTCTGAAAAGAACATGCATACAACATGATTTAACAAGAGTCTGTTCCTTTCTTTCTTTAAAATTTTACATTTTGGCAATAGCACTTAATGTCTCTTTCTTTAGTCCAGAGATATGGGGTACAATTTATACAGTTACTTCTGTCTTTTTAAAACTTTATAATCTCCTTGAACCTCTCTGAAAGCTCTTGTAAGTGCTATCCAAAAGTGTTGCTCAATGCCTTGCTGTTTGTTGGAAGACATTCATGAACTTAACCGGCATTAACAAGATTGAAAACAAACTATCTGGTGACTTGTTAAACTTATTCAGACAAATATTACTATTTTAGGACACATCATTCTATAGAAACGGAATTCTCCAATACTTAAACTGTCCCACTAGTTCATAAGCCAAGTAATAACTCTATATTTACCCCCAGAATCCACCTCCATCTACCCTTTGTACATGTCTCTCTTCTGCCTTTGGAAGCATTTTGGGGGTCAAATGTGAGATGTGCTGGCACAGCACATGTCCAGAGTGCTTAAGACCTCAAAGCCACTCCATGTCGTCCATGGTATTATGTGGATTTATAGACCATGAGAGTAGCCTGGACAGTGGAATGAGAAAGTTCCATGTTGCAACTCTGATATCTATGGAACGAGAATACACATATAATAAGAAAGTATTCGATAAAATATGTATATGTCTGCTCCACAAAGAGAGTCTTATGGGTAACCTGACTTAAAAGACCTCACTTTACTGAGTTCTAAAACAAACCCCTAAAAACAAGGTCCCAAGATATATAGCAAAGAATGACACTACAAATGACAAGTCAGTCTCAATTTCCTTGTTTTGCAACAAAAAAGGGTTTAGTTTGCTAATAACAATCCTCCTCCTCTTTACCATGTGACTGGCATTAAACTGTGCCAGATATAGGACTGTAGCCACAGTTTTTTATGAATAAGTATTTTACAGGATTATCTTACTTGAGAAGTTCTCAAGAGTGGAGAAAGATAGTAAAGTTCTCATGAACTACCCTGTCGACCATTCTGAAAATATGTTTCACTACCTTTTGCTATGCCCCTCCTTTAGAGGGGAGAGGCTGAGGATGAAAGGCCAAGACAGAGAGAAAGCCTCGTGAATCACAACCAGTTCCATATCGAGGCTGCTCAGGCTAATGGCCCAAGACAGCTGTGATGATGCCTTTCCCACAATGAACCCCTGCCCTGTGTCTGGGGGGCCTTTCTTCCGTGAGCATGTGAACATACAATGCTGGAGGCTGCCATGGAACTTCTCTGGTTTGGGTTTCACAGACACACTTTCAAGGGTGGAGAAGGTCCCCAGATTAGCCTCCTGCCCACACTATCCCCTGCCAAAATCACACCAGCCCCACCACCATCCACCAGCTAGGACTGCTGAAGACCGGCCTAACCTTGGAGGATATGGGACTTGGGAAAGGAAGGTCAGGTCCTCTTAGAGGGAATCAATGTGGTGAAGCAGAAAAATCTAGTAAGGAAAAGAATCACAGACAACCAGCATGCTACATACGCATAATTTCTTGCCTAGATTATGAAGAAACGATGCTTTATTTAGTTCTTGGCACCGAAAGCCTTGAGAAAGTTAATGGAAACAAATAGCTTTGTTCTAAGCACGGCCTCCATTCCAAACTGATTGTGATCTGAGGAGACCATCACTTAATATCGGCATTTGGAGGAAAAAAAGAAAGGCTGGCAAGTTTCTCCGGACATTTACCGTATGGCACATTCAATTTTAGAAATGTTAACTTTTGTATCACATGTTCTCACTCATGAGTGGACCTTGAACAACTATTATAATACTATAAGAAAAGGATTGGCATAGTGGGAATATGCTGGGGGGCACACCTCATTAAAAGGGGTGCCTGCATAACAAACATTTGTATACATAACAAATTGTACTTCACAACCTTAAAATAAAAATTTTAAAAAGAAATGTTAACATCTTTTCCAAAAAAAAGCATCTATGAACTGAGGAAGTGTGAAAATACCAAGGGATGTAAAATAGTATAAAACCTAACCTTTTCAATAAATCACTCAAAGCTAATTTTAAATCAACACAATTCACACCCTTTTCTACAGCCTATGTAATAAAAATATTAGAAATTAGAGACTGACAATTGTAAACAGTTCACAGGTCCATTTCAAGCTATATCTTTTCATATAACACAGCATTTACAGAAATATAGAATGACACTTTATTATTTTATTCTTGGGATTTATAAGAGAAACTGTTTTCACAAAGGAGAAGAAGCAGAGGGGACTGGGACAAGCACTTAGTAGGGGACTAGTGGGAACTCTACACAGATCACTATTTCCATTTTGCAGATTTGGCAGTTGAGGTGCCAGAAACGCTGACCTGCCTGCGACAGCCTTATTACTTGAACCAACACAAGTGTGCCAACTCTGACTATCATGCTCTTCCTCCTACCCCAAACTTGCCTCCAAAGGACACGCCAGTCGATTAACTCGGATCTGAATCATCAGCTGGAACCTTAGGGCTATGCCCTGAACCTAACCTAGACACTTCCTCTCTGGTGGACTGTGACCCAAAGTGGAACAGCTGGTACCAAACTCTAACCGTATTTCTTTCTTTTTTTTGAGTCAGAGTCTTACTTTGTTGCCCAGGCTAGAATGCAGTGGCACATCATGGCCACAGCAGGCTCGACCTGCTGGCTCAGGTGACCCTTCTACCTCAGCCTTCCAAGTAGCTGGAACAACAGGCACAAGCACATGCCACCACACCCGGCTAATTTTTTGATTTATTGTAGAGATGAAGCCTCACCATGTTGCCCAGGCTGGTCTTGAACCCGTGGGCTCAGGCAATCCTCTCGCCTTGGCCTCCCAAAGTGCTGGGATTACAGGCATGAGCTACTGTGCCTGGTCTAAACTCTAACTACATTTCAACAGAAGAGAGGAGCGGGTGAGGAGCCCATAGCTCGGACATGGAACATTACCTACCCCCAGTCTTGCTCAAGGACTGCAGTAACTCTGTCGTAACCAGGGCTGCCCCTGAACTGTATCACTTCTAGGGGTAGAGTGAGAAAAAGCAGGTCGAGGCAGTCTAATGGACAGCGACCCACTCCAGGTCTGCAACTGAGCCCTGCCAGAGCCTCAGGTTCAAAGCACAAGCTCTGTGTCATCCCAGGGTGAAATTTGTTTGTTGGTCACAACATGGAGAGCTCTCCATTTGTCCATTCAGTCACATGACCAACAGCAGTAGGCTCATCTAAGACCTCAGTTCAGTCAACAAGTGAGCTGCCAGGGCCTGAGAGGTTCAGCCAGATCTGCTGTTGGATATGACGTCAAGATTCCCCACTCTGAACTCTGCTCGGCTTCCCTGGCCTCCAACCGCAGGAGTGGCAACTTCAGCTGTTCATTTCCTCCCAAACACTCACAGGAAGTGGAGTTGGAACCAGAGTCACCGTGATGAGCTACTAATAGCCCCTTCCCTCAGAGTGTGGCCAAAACAGACAGCAGGGGTGGTGGGGAAGAGACAATTCTAATCTTTGAAGGCTTGGGTCTATTTCTTATTTCAAGGGCTAATCCATCTAATGTCCATGAATCCTATGTCAACAAATGACAGAGAGCCTCCAAGCTAGATGGAAGCTGAGAAATCATCTGGCTCCCCTCTCCACACAGAAAGTCCCTCTCCATGGCAGACTGGAGACATCACCATTTAGTTCTGTTTGAATACTTCCAGCAACAAGATGTCTCCATTTTCACTAGTTGTTCTAATTGTTAAAACTTCTCCGCCGGGCTCGGTGGCTCAGCCTGTAATCCCGCGCCTTTGGGAGGCTGAGGTGAGTGGATTGCCTGACACCGCGGGTTCGAG